GTGGTTTTCCCCCTTGAATTTCCCTTCCTCTTCAAGTTGATTCGGGTTCTCTCTATGCACGACCCTTATGCCAGAAGGTGATCTGAGGAACTACTTTTGCCTTCATATACATAAATGCAAAATGGCTAATTAAGTGTCAGCTAAAAAGCACTGCTGTTTTATATCCAATGGAAATTTTCTGTCTAATTGCTCTGGGCATCACCTGGTCTGTTTGTAACTGGCTGGAGAAGGACTGCAGAGCTGTTACTCTGCGATGTTTACTTCATCTGGCTGCAGGGAGCATTCCTTTAAGACATGATTATTGAGGCAGAGAAGGGATAAGATGGGTGAAACGCAATCGCTCTGAGTTTTAATGTTGCACCAGGCGGTAACATCTAAGCACTCGTGTGCTTTACGACAGCACCTGGCCTTATGGTTTGTCTCTTCTTCTGTCTGTGTCTCAGGCAGTCTGAGTCGCAGAGGTGTTGACCAGCGAGGAGTGCAAGAGGACTGCCTCGGCCTGCATCAATCTATGGGATTGTATTTGGAAATCCAAGCCTATAGTCGGCCCTATTGAGAAAGGATCAGTTCATATATTTCATTAATCAACCTGCTGTTACCCCTTGCAAGTAAGTTCCAGAAGGCTAAAAATGCTGCATCTCTCCCCAACTTTAAAAAAAAAAAGTGAGGAAAAGTTTTCCCCGCAGATATAACGATTGAACTTCCTAAGTCCTGATGGCATTCCCTGAGAAACAAGAGCTCTTCATCACATGGAGGCAGACAGTAGTACAGAATGGGTTCTGGAGGGTTAATTGTCCAGCTGGAAAACCAGAATAGGCTCAGAAGAAGCAGTACAGAGGAAAACAAATGAGCAAGTTTCCCAAGTGCAAGCGCTTCATGCCACGGTCGGAACAACCCTTATGGATGGCTTTATAGAAGAGATATATTGCGTGGTTGCTGGAGAGCCGTGTTTTCTTTGTCTGCCTTGTATTTTATGAAGAGGATATGGAAGATGATGTCTAGCAATTCCTAATCTAACACTAGCCATAACTAAACACAAAGGCTTTTCTGACTTTGGTTTATTTCTGCTGTCTGTGCTTTCTACTATGATATATGTTAAACATTTGGGTGAGACATTAGAGCCTACAGTTCTGCTGAGATCAATCTGGCCATAAATCTCTCCAGTCCTGCGGCGGACAGGTTTTGCTCTTTTACTTGCAGTGACAAATTACAGAGAACTTAAAGAGAGCTAAATGAACCCGAGGTGCAGAGCACAGTACTCCAACCACCCACTCACCTTCATGACTTCCATCATGTTTCAAAAAAATGAGCCACTTCAATTGAGTATGCCGACAGCAAAAGTCTTTTTGCAAACAACTGGCCATGCCATAAACTTTCCCCAACAGAGGTGTTGCTGCATTTTGTGCAGTAAGTACTAAAAGCCACTCCGTACATCCTACGCAGAGGGACGTGGCACTCGGTGCTCTTTGGGATTATCACTCAGCAGCAGAGACTCAGACCCTGATGTGTAAGGGACAGGTGAGGTGGAAATGCAGGACTTGGGGCCAGTTCAGCTGCTGCCAAGCACTGAAACACAGGTGAAGGAAAATCAGGACATATTTTTGCTCAATTCTCCCCTTGGTAGATCTGAATAATTTCCATGTACGTTGCTGAGTATATATTACTTTGGGAAAAGCTCCTGGCTCTTCAAACTTGAGAATAGGCTCAGGAGGTCCCTGAAAATCCTCATGAAAGATGCAGGAATAGGGGAAACAAAACAAGCAGATTTCAATTGGAGAATTTTGTAAAGGTCTGCTTTTCCAAGGGAAAAACAATTTTCCAGCAGAGGAATGTGAAATGAGTGGTAGGCTGCAATCACAGCAAGAGAAGTTCTTTTCTGCAAATCACTGCTCCCTTTATTAAAGGTACGTTGTCAGTTAAAGACTTGCTTGCCTGTAGCAAGAAGGATGAGAAGAATGGGCTCCTGAAAAAAATATTCTTTTCCCTGCTTAGAAACGAAGTTGTTCAGAGTTCCTACGTGCAGAACAAGAATTAGTCACCTATTAGATTTAGGGGCTGATAGAGTAACTAGGAGATTGTATATATGAAGGAAAGCTGTAGGAGCTTGGTTTTGAGCTCATAGTTAATCCAGAGTCTAGATAATTGAAAGCTGACTACAGAGTTTCCATAGATTTTTACATAAGTTGTGGTACCCCTCCCGAGTAGTTCTGTGAAAGCTGATTACTCTTCATTTGTTAATCAAGAGGTATTTTGCATACGTTGTCACCTGGTGGCACACATTGGTTTTTTTTTTTTCCTTCTGGCAAAATTTCTTCTGCCAATGAGCTATGAGATTATAAAAATGTAAGGAGCAGACCCTGGGTTTGTGGCATGTACACTATATATTCGTCTTTCCTGTGGACAGGATCAGCACTGTGCTACTCCGACTTTGTGCAGACTTTGTGCCTCCTGATGCATCTTTGCCACCATCCAGCTGGAGAAGCACTGGTGGTTATAGCTGGATGGTTTTTCAAGCCCCTGCTAGTAAAGGGTTGCAGCAGAAGTGAGAGCTGATTATACAGTTCAGGAAACTGGGTGCAGTCACTTGGAGGCTGACAGGAAAAAAAAGATTGTATACATTAGAGTTTTTTAAATAAAACAACAATCCAAACCAAAATCAAACAGAATAATATTCCTATTTTTAAGCTAATTCCAAAATAACATTCAGATATTTTATTCCAAAGAAACGTTTTGTCCAGCAGGGGGGTTAAGTGTATTTTGCAGACAGCGAACACGATACATTTACAGCATTTTATGCATTAATGAAACTTAGGTCACTTTTTAAACATCATTAATTTTGATAACGTTTGAATGAAAAACTAAGTGAGGCGAAATGGCATGTATTATTTTCTTTTTTCCACTTTCCTGTTTTCATCATGCAAGAACTAAATGTGTTTATTTTACTGGCAATATTAAGAGAATCATATGATTTTGAGTAAGTCTTTTGAGATTATTTGCAAGTTTTTGCTCTTCTGCATGTCTGCTTCCTCCCAGCTGGGGGCTGGCTGTTGTATGGAAAGGCCAACCACGTCACGGAAAAGCCCTGTCTCTGATCAGATGGGCTTAATATAAACCAGGTTTGCTGAGAAAGAATTAAAGAGGCAGCCCCAAAGCAGGAGAGGATTTACTTCTGCCGAGGAGCTCAGCGTACCGCAGCCCGAGAGAGAGAAGGGCAGCGCGAGCAGAGGACCTGGCTGCCTGGAAGAGCCTGGCAGAAGTAAGGCAGCGATGGTTCGGACGCAGTCTTTTACTGTCGATGCTAGAGACCCAGGCAGCTAAATGCAGTACGGGGTATCAAAATGAGTTTGAACTTAGGAGTGCTGCCTATGATAGGGCTTTGTTTAATGATGGATGATAATTTGTTAAGAGCGAAATCGTAAAATGTTCATGTTTGTGACGGTTTAGTGAGTGAGTGTTTATTGCAGGTTGTGAGTTAGGCTCTGTTGTTTGAATCGGAGATGACTTTTCTCATCTGGTTGTTTCAGTGGGGAAACTGCAAGGAAAAAACGCGTTTTAAAATGCAACCGCAGTAAATATTTCGTTTGTGAAGCAGCCTTTGCTTGGTCTGTGATTTCTACTGTAGATATATTTCTTGCTGACAAAGTTACTGTGGCTAGGACCGTGCAAACGATCTCATTTTGCCCCTAAGTACTGCACATCACAGAGAAAATATTGAGTATGTGGTAGTAAGTTCAGATAGGGTGTGCTTTTTCTGTGTATTTGTCCTATGTCCTGCTATGCGTTTATTAACAGAAGTTTTCAGTTTTGCGTGAAGAGGAATAGGGATTTGTACGTGTTGTTTTGATGCTTTGCTGTACTTTTTTTCGTTCACCACCTACTATTCAGGTTTGAAAGTGGCCGAGTGGCATTTCGCAGACAATTATCCTATTTACTAATATGGAGAAGGGAGCCGAGAAACATCAGATATATGGCAAAAAGCAAAATGTCTAAATAACTGTCACTTCGGGAACTGGAATGCATCAAAGTAACTTTCCTAAAAATGGTAGCTGTTGGCCTGTGAGAATGACATCACTGTCCTCTGCCTCCAAGCAAAGCAAAATAGAATTTGCTGAGTAAAATATAATTAAGAGCCATTCTTAGATAAGAGTGAACCTGTCTAGCTGATTGTGCAGTAAATGAAGTTGTTGATTTAATATCCATAAATTTATGAGATTTTTCTCCCAGCGCTACCTCCTGTAGTGTCTAGAACCTGTACCTCCTCAGAAAAGCTGTTGGACTTGACTGTGTGCTCCCTCTTACCAGCCCAAAAGCTACTGGCTGAAGCAGAGTCATTCTTCATTTACCCAGCTGTAGATGAGATCCAAGTTTACCCCATCATGGCAAGACTTGCTTGCATGGCTATTTTCTTGTATCAGGGTTGTCTAAGGCTGCAGCAAGTGATGCCTTATTGCTTTCCCAAAAGTTTCAGCTCTTAACTGAGACAATGCGAAGGATGCTGTACACCCAGCTGCATTGGGAGATGGAGGCAACTGGGACCGGTGCCTCTGCCCCCAGTTAAGCACAAAGGATGGGGAGCAGTACCTGTAGGTGCTGCCTGTACCATAGGGTGCCTCTCAGCAGGGATGCAGCTCCCATGTAGGACAGCTCTGGTAGATGCTACCCCTTCCTTCTCCTCCTGGGACACAGCAATGCCTCGCTCTCTCCAAGGCTGGGCTGCACCTAGCACAGCCGTGAGCTTGTAAAGGCTAAACAAAGAAAGGATTTTGCATGTGAGGGTGGTATCATCCTTAGGAAAAAGCCTCTGACTCACTAACTAGAAATATTTCTTTGTGTACCAGCAACTACGAAAGAGTGCAGAAAGTCTCATTCTTCTTTTGTTGTATACTAGATTCTATAGAAGAGCAGGACGTGCTGCCTTGAAGTTAACAGGAGAGCGTTAATGCGTTTCTAAATGTTTTGTGGGTAACACTTGTGGTTTCCCTATTTCTCATTAGGGGTAAAAAATGACCCTCAACAACGTTACCATGCGTCGCACCCACAACAGCAGCCTGCAGCAGCAGCAGCAGCGATGGAGCATCCCTGCCGACGGAAAGAATCTGCTGGTCCAGAAGGACTCCAACGAATACAACCCGCAGAAGCGATACACCATCAGTCCTGATGAATATTACAGAAGGAGCTGGTCCTCGGAGTCGTCCGACTCCGTAATCTCCTCTGAGTCTGGCAGCAATTGCTACCGGGTGGTGCTGATCGGGGAGCACGGCGTAGGCAAGTCCTCGCTAGCCAACATCTTTGCGGGAGTGCATGACAGCATCGACAGTGACTGCGAGGTGCTGGGAGGTAGGTCGTTATGTCCTTGGGTGCTTGTGCTTGCTTGCAATCGGCTCTGCCAGTAGTAATTGCACAAAAAACCAGAGAGGCCATTTAATCAAAAATTGAGGTAACAAACATCAAAACTGATTCAACTCATGCATCTCTCTTAAGAAAACAAGAAAGCAAAGTAAGATGAGTAAGATACTCACCAACAATGATTGAAAGCCTCTGAAAGAGAACAATTCAGATTCCCATGCTATTTCATTTCAAAATACCCATTGGAAACTGCCTCATTCCTGCCTGTGATGATGCTACACAACAGGCTGGTCCGGCTTTCAGGCTGGTCCAACATTTGTGTCACCACTGGCTCCATGGGGCTGACTCAAGCTTTCTGTGGGGGAGAAAAAAACAACTGAAGGTCCTCATGGTCTACAAGCATGAAATGCTTAGAAATAATATATAAAGAAAAATAGAAAAGCCACTGCTGAGTCCTTCAGTCACCTCCAAAATATTTGCCATTAGAAATCATCTCAGCTTTTCCGTATAAACACATTGCCTCAGCATAGGCTATATGCAGTTTGAGGAAAACATGTCTCCTCCTCATTTCATGGAACTTGCACAGCATGGGTTCCCCCAGAGGAAAACCAGACAAAGGTCCTTCAGCAGTGTAGAAAAATTCCTGTTGCCCAAACGGGGAAAAGGCAGAAGCTGTAGGGTTTTCTTTGATGCTTCCCCCTTGCTATCCTCATCTGCTTTGTTTAGCATTGCAAAGTGTTCTTTAATCCCAAAGATCAGATCATGCAAAAGGTGAAGCTGCGGCACCAAGTCCTGAGCTATATTGTATGCAAGATGTTGATGCGGAAGGGTTGTGCTGCATCAGAAATCTGCTGAGGCTCTAAGGACGCAGCCACTGTCACCTTTTGAGGACACACAGGTTGCTGGCTGGTTTTGCTTGTCAGTACACAGGACTTTCCTCGTCTCTCCCGTATCCCTTCCCTCTCCTGCCTGTACTCCCGTGGTGCGATGGTGCCAGTGCTAGCACAGAGAGTTTCTGGGCTTCTCTTCCAGCCTTCAGTGGGGCACAGGCAGGACAGTCTTTCGTGTCTTTAACTCTCCAGTTAGGAGAGGTTTGCCCAGGATTTAATACAGCCCAGCATCAGGAAGGTCAGACCCACATTTTCCTAGCTTGCTGTCACAGACTGGGGGCACAGATCTTTGTGCTTTGGGGGACTTGAAGTTCCCCACAGTGCAGTCACCCTGAATCAGCTATTCAGGTGTGCTTTGTCTTCAGTTTGTCCACTGACTTTTCCCATAATCCCACCAGCTTCTCAGCCTGGACTGTCTCTGATAAATGTTTTCCTAGTCCTACGCAAGTGAACTAGAGTATGACCCTTGGGCAAGAAGTCAGAAAATGCAGCTGATTTGCTTTGCACACTCCTTTCAGACAGTTTTCTTCTCCATGCGAAGCTGTACGGTTTCCCCTTTCCTTCGCGCTCCCAGCAATACTGCTTGGAGTGTAGCAGTGACGGATTTTCAGGGCCAGCTCTGCTGAGGTATTGAAAGCTTGCTGGTTTTAGATATCTCTCTCTTTAGTGTCAGCTTCAAAATAAGCATGAGATGAACAAATTGCTCACTTCCAGTGTCTTTTATCCTATGGAAGTTCCTTAGGATTGACCAAGGTGCAAATCAGTGCTGAATACAACCATTTGGGCATAATATTTTTGAGGAGTGTGATTACATATTTGTAGCCTCTCTATGTGAACAGAGTGGAGAAGCAGCATCCTCTGGATGTTGTCCTCTGGTGTATATGGAGCTTGTTCCCACGCAGATGCTCGGTCAGTTGAAGAAACTATTCTCCAAACTTTAGCTTACAACCTGGAAAATTTATTACAAGAGAGGATGGTGTCAGGGTAGCCAACTCGCAGAGGGAATACAGCTGCTTTTATGGACAGGCTTTGCTACTGACTGTAAGATTAAGCTAACACCTGAACACAAATGTCATGCTATTGGCCCTGCAAGGGAAACTGCTCCTATCGATTAGCTCTGTCTTTTTATTCTCGCCATTTTAAGCTGTGTCAAGCCTGGGCTCTTTTTGATTTTATTTTAAATGTGTAATATTTTCGGCTCATTCTTTTGCATGAATGTAGATTCTTGGCTTCGAGGAAAGGGTCTGATTACAATTTAGTGGAAAACTCACTCTGTTACTGCCCAGCAGAAGTTTTATGAGGCAGGGGTTAAGACACACTCCTATCTACAAGCATGGTTGGGACAGACCCCTTAAACAGTGTGAGGGGTGGTATGCTGAGAAGCCCTAAGCCTGGCATTTTTCACTGAACAGTAATGCAAGACTAGGGATGGGTCCAAGGCCATTATCACTCATCCAAATGTCCCCAGGTTTGGGGACAAGAAGGAAGATTAGTATTCGAAGCAGAAGCTAGACTGAGATTTCACAGCAAGGGTTGGTTGAAATTATGAGTACAGCCCCCCCCCCCCCAGTACTAAGCAGAATTTTGTCACATGGCATATATAATCTAGGTATGAATTTTTGTGGCCTCAGTACAAAATAACTGAACTTCTGTGGTATGTTGATTCTTTTGCTTTTTGACATCAAATGTAATATGGGAAACCATGAAGTGGGAGAGAACTAGGACGCAGCAGAAGTCTCAATCTCTCTAAAACTCAGCAGCTCTTGTCTTACAAAACCCTGTCCTCATTGCCTGGTAGGCTGTTAGCTGTATTACTCTCAGCAGTGGTGACTGTTCACCCGTAAACTGTCCCTGCTAAAGTGAAAGCAAATAGTTTCCATTACTCAGCCTCTCTGGACTCCGCTGCTCCCATGGGGCAAATGTTCAGCCTTTGGTTATTTCTTCCACTGGTTCTATTTTCTCTCTCCCACATAAGATAAAGAGAATATCAGCCAAAATAATGAACATTTCCTTTCCTGATCTTTCAGCCTCCTTCATATATCATGGAAAGACAACCAGTAATGAACAGAGGGCAGGTTCAGTGCTGATGGAAATGAGGAAAGAGCTGAATGTGAGCCAGCATAAAGTTTGGCTCAATAACTTGAACTGTGAACAAATTATACATATTCAACTACTTCTTTTTTTCTAATGTATATGATGCCACAAAATAATATATTACCAACCTTTCTGCTTTTCTTTCCAGAAGACACATATGAAAGAACCCTGATGGTGGATGGGGAAAGTGCAACTATTATACTGCTCGACATGTGGGATAATAAGGTACTTTAATTTGTTCTAGGCAAGTGCCAAACCAAAAGTGCATATGAATGACTGCTAATATCAAAAGTAGGTATCTTTTGTGAAAGAAAGTAGGTGTTTTCCATACATCAAGATCAGGGAAAATATAGGATTAACCCCACCCCTGCCCCAAGCCAAGTATGCCTAATGGCTTTGCAGTGTGAGCCTGAGAAGTGCAAGCCTTCTTTATTTTTTTAATGATAAAACAAAACATTCAAGCCATTTTTCCAGACCATGTTCATTCCAGTCTAAAGCCAGCACAATGAATTATTTGGGGCAAGTTTTGCCCTCCTTCGTGGTGAAGTATTCATACCATCACTGCATTGGAATTACTTTTAGTATAACTGTGATTCAAACTATACCCATTACAGTTACAGCAG